CATAGGAACTTATTGTCTTGTCCTCCATTATAGTATGGTTGGCACGCCTCGTGATTTGATGCTAATTAAGCATTTTAAATAGCAGAGAATCAGCATGCTAAAAATTGGGGTATTAATGAGCTTGCTGCTCATTCTTTATAGTTTATGCGGTTCACTACAGCTGCTTACTTTGCTCCATTTAGCTGCTGATTTAAAAATCCCTATGCCTCACTGCACAGAAGTTCAGGTTCATTTAAAGCCATGACATATAAGACACCATTTACACAAGACATTTTACCATTTAAGGATTCCAGGTTAGAGAGCAATTCCTTAAAAGGGTTATAACAGCTTGATCCTCTTCACACGGGCAAGACAAGCCATGTTATAATATGTTTGGGTCTCTGACAATGTTCCCTCTAATATTTTCCATCCATGTGCAAAATAAATTTTGTTATGTGCACCGAGGTAATGAGTGGATGTGCGCCACCAGTAGAAACAAAAAACCTAGATATTATATATATTTTTTAAAAGTTACCATAGGGATAATTACTCAGCCAGGACAGGTTAAGCCTTTTAGAACTCACTCCTCAAAGAATTACATTTAAGTGTAAGAGAAATAAAAATTATGAAATGCATAGACCAGTCAAAAATTAAATTAACACACTTTGAAAGAATAAAATGACAGAGAATATATGTGCATTGCAGGAAGTACCAAAAAGCAGGGCCGGCTCCAGGCACCAGCCCACCAAGCATGTGCTGAGGGCGGCGCCTGGAGGAGGGCGGCGCCTGGAGGAGGGCCCCGGCCGGGCTCTCCGCCCTGCTCCCTACGCTCTGGCCGCCAGGGAGAGCGGAGGGCCCCAACCGGGCTCACCGCCCTGCTCCCGGCACTCTGGCCGCCGGGGATTGCGGGCCCGCGGCCGGACTCAGCGCCCTGCTCCCGGCGCTCTGGCCGCCGGGGATTGCGGGCCCGCGGCCGGGCTCGGCGCTCCATCCGGTCGGGGATTGCGGGCCCGCGGCCAGGCTCGGTGCCCTCCCCTGCCATGCTGAGAGTGGCGGGTGCCTTTTTTGCATAGGGCAGCAAAAAAGCCAGAGCCAGCCCTGCCAAAAAGTAACACCACCACCACCACAAATATATGTTGGGAGGTGAGAGAGAGAGAACAGACTGTGTGTGTACTGGCTGCTGGGGAAGTTTCTGAGAGATGCCATGCGCTCTTTAAGGTACTCACAGAAACCTCTCCGGCTCCTGACTGAGCCCTGTCCCCACTTCCTCCCTCTGCTGAGATGGGGTACATGGGCAGGGAGAGGGGGAGGGGAGAGAGAGAGACAGATAGACACAGACTGTGCAAGCTGGTTGCTGGGGAAGTCTCTAAGGCACTCACTCACCGCCTGGAGGCTCATTCAGACCTCAGCAGCTCTCTCCTGCTCCAAATACTGAGCCCTGTCCCCTCTCCCCTGCTCTGTGGAGATGAGGTACAGGGGCAGGAGACCCTGACATCAGCACCCCCTCCCCTCCCGCTCTGCACAGCCAGCAGGAGGTTCCCGGGAAAAGCTGCAGGAGCAATGTGGCTGCAAAGCAGTGGGGCGGAGAGGGGCACCTGAACAAATGCTGCCGGATGTGCGCAGCTCTGCTAATCAAGTGTGCAGCACTTGAATCACTCCTGGGCCATGCAGCTTAGAGGGAACACAGGTCTCGGATATGTTGAGTACTTAAAACAAAAGTAAAATTTGAAGTGTTGACAAGGCCTATGTTTGAAGCAGTAAACCTCACCCCACCTCAGCCAACTGGAATTGCAAGATTTCAAAGGTATGTGTTCCACTGTATAAGAACAAGGAAACTGTTACCATGAGAAGTCTATTTGTAAGATTATAGGATATAAATGAAATTAGTAAGCACCCTTAGAGTCTTAAGAAAGCCAGAGGTTTTATTTTATTAAAATGTGAGGCAGTATGCACTAGCTGACTATCCATGGGGAAGGGTCCAAAAATTATTTCCTCCCCGTACACACCTGAGTTCTAAACCCAGCTCTACCACCATAAAATGAGAATAATATTTGCCCATCTTTCTCACACAGATGTGAGGTCTAATGAGGTAATTTCCCCCCTCCTTACCCCACCCACACGCATACAGTGCTTTGATTATTTGTGGGGTTACTATTAGAAAAAATACACCACTGGCGATTTTAAGAGCAAAAGCCTAATATTTGTCTTCATTACAGTGTCC